TAGAGCTGGAAACAGATTCTCCCCGCCCCCACTGCCCACAAAAGTGAATGTCATAACATTTCCTGTATGACCTGTTTAAGTATCTATCTATCTGCCCCCAATAACTTAGGATGTTGCCAGCAAATTGCTACTTGCTTCATGTCCTGTGATTTATTTGGTTACAAATAAGCATGGACTCATTAGTAGCTTCCATAACTACTGATGATATATATGGCCAAAAGACAGGAATTCTGTTTCTTCTTTTTAGGTGTTTGTAAGAAGATTCTCAGTTTTATAGTATGAGTTGGTATTATTAGCTGAGAAAAGACTATCAACAAACTAAATTAAGTGTTTACTAAACAACTGGATATCCATATGGAAAAAAGGTGGAATTTAATCCTTGCACCTTTTACAATATTAACTCAAAATGGATCATACATGTTAACATGAATGATAAAAATATAAAACTTCTAAAATGACTACAATTTTTAAAAACTGGCAACAGCAAGTATATCTTTCCTATATTGGTGATGGGACCATAAAATGACATAATCACTTTGGCAACCCAGTTTGGTAGTCTCCTAAAAAGTTAATATCATAATGAAATAGCAAATATGAGTATATTCTCTAGGATAATAGTAAAATACACTAAGTTACTCACATTACCTTAAAGGTAGTGATTCATTTTTTTCATTCCTGAAATCAAGGGATAGAGAAATAGAAAAAAAGATTCAGACACATTTATGAATATGAAAGTGATCACTACTAGAATTAGACATAAGATATACCAATGCCTCTAATTCAGTAAGCAATATAAAAGCAAACAAAATGTGTTCCATTTAGCAACAGCAATACACATGCATGTTCATAAACCAATTAATAATGCCTAAAACTTAGAATACAAAAGTACTGGCACAGAAAATAAAGCCTCAGAAAATATAAAACAAAATGACAGGAGGAAGACTCAATATGTTTGTTATAACTATAAATTCAAAAGTACTGGCATAGAAAATAAAGCCTCAGAAAATATAAAACAAAATGACAGGAGGAAGACTCAATATGTTTGTTATAACTATAAATTCAAAATGCCTGAAATTCAACTCAAAAAAAGGCAAACACTCCAGAATAATTTATAAAACAGCATTCAAACTATCCTTTTTGGAAAAGGTATGCCTTAATCATCTATTAGAAATACCATAAATAAAAAAGATGAAAGCAGATAATTTTGGCAAAAATAAAGTAAAACTGGCAATATTGATTTCAAATAAAGTAAATTCCATGGTAAAATACATTAGATTAAAGGAAGAATGTCAACATTTATAAAGAGGCATAATCAATAAGAAAAATATAAAGTTATAAACCTTCTGCCTGAAGAATGTCCTTTAATATTTTTTTATGTAGAGGTGTACTGGTAACAAATTTTCTCAGCTCTCTGTGTGTGTGTGTGTGTGCGCGCGTGTGCATGAGAAAAGTCTTCATTTGCCTTCATTTTGAAACATATTGTCAATAGTGTAAAATTCAAGGTGTTTTTTTTCTTTCTTTCAGAACTTTAGTTATTTTTTAGTTCATACAGTTTCTGACAAGAAATCTGTGTTAATTCTTCTCTTTGTCACGCTACATAATGAGTCCTTTTTCCTCTGGTTTCTTTTTAAAATTTCTGTTTATAATCAAATTTGAAAACATATTTGGCCCTTTTTTGTTGAATATTTTTCTGCTTCCCCACATGCCTTCATCTAGAATGCCAACCAATTACTTGTATGTTAGACTATTTAATATTGTCCCACAGGTCACTAGCACTCTGTTATTTGTCTCAGTCATATTTTTCTCTCTCTGTGCTTCATTTTGGATAGATTTGATAGAACGTTCAACTGATCTTTTCTTCTACACTGTGTAATTTGCTGTTGACCCCATTCAACTGTACTTTACATCTCAGATCCTGTATTTTGCAGCTTCAGAAGTTCCATTAGAAAAGGGGGATAAATATATGGTGATGGAAGATGATTTGACTTTGGGTGGTGAACACACAATGCAATATATAGGCCATGTATCATAGAAATGTAGACTTGAAACCCATATAATCTTATTAAACAATGTCATCCCAATACATTTAGTTTAAAAAGGAAAAAAAAAAAAAGAAGTTTCATTTGAGCTATTTCTCTCCTCATCATGTTAAGGTTTTCCTCTACCTTCTTTAACATATGGAGCACACTTATAATTACTGTTTTAACATTCTAGTCTGTTAGTTTCATCTAATTTCAGGGTGATTTTCTGGATCTGTTTTTTTATTTTCATCTGATTATAATAACATTTTCTGCTTCTTTGCATGCCTGCCTAGTTTTGTGTTTGATGTAATCATTGTGAGTTTTATGTTGTTCTTTGCTGGGTTCTGTTGTATTCCATTAAACAGCATTGGATTTTGTTCTGGTATGCAGTTAAGTTACTTGGAATAAGGGAAATCATTTTGTGGCTTGTTTTCAAGTTTTACTGGGGTATGTCAAGAGCATCCTTTTGCATAGGGCAAATTTATCCCCACAACTAAGGTGAAACTCTTCTGAGCATACTACTTAATGCCCTTTGTATGACAAATTATTTCCACTTAGATGGTGGGAACGTGAACTATTACCAGCCAGTTTGAGCTCTGAGAATTTATTCTGCCAATTCTCAATGTGATATGTTCCCATCCTTTCCTCCCATCTCAGGTAGTGTCCTCTTATGCACTGTGGAGATCAGTATTCAACCAAAGACTTGTGGGAGATCTCTGCGGATCTCCAGAGCTCTATCCCTATGCTGCTCCCTCTTCACTGGTACACTGTCCTACAAATTCTAGCTAACTTGGCCTTTCCTTCTCCTCAAGTCAGCAGGCCCCCTGGTCTCTGATTGTACCCCCCACCCCCCCAAGCTAGTTAGTAAACTATTCAATTGGAGACCTCATTTTATTTCTTTTCTTTAGGAGATCACAATCCTGTGTTAGCTTTTGTCCAATGTCTAAAAACCATTGTTTTATTAATATATTGCCTGTTTTTTTTATTTCCTTCAGGTGGTATATCCCTATTACTCCATCTTAGATGGAAGGGGAAGGAACACATAAAAAGCATTAGAATTGTGTTCAAAAATTTTGCATTTACATTAATTCTATTTCAATGGTGAAATGCAGGAATAGTAAAAGGCACGCTATTTGAAGGTCAGGGAAGTGAAATACATTGAGAAACAAGGGACAGTATTATGCTTTTTAAATCATCCCTTCAAACATCCCAGCATCTAGCAAAAACATACCTGGGTGTGCTGGATCTAATTTCAGTTGTTTAAGGGAATGAGGATATTTCATAATACTCTTTAGTCAAATGACACTTTTCCAAACTCAGAATCCCTACTAATTAGGGAAGTGTTTTTGAATCAGGAATAACAAATATTTCAAAAATATTTTAAATGAGAAATCTTGCTGTGATTGTATTTTCTTTCCTCCTAGAAAGAGAAAAAAATTTCTAGGAAGTCACTTTTGTTCCATCTTCCTCACGGAATCAATTAACTGTTCCACACTGACAAAAGAAAAATCATTGACATAATATTTCTACGTCCTGTCTAGTTTCCAGTGTTCCTCTCATCTCTCATATTAAAATTGCTTTCTAAAAGCATTGCATAATTTATGCCTCTTTTAACTACACTGGTAATTTCATACTTGTGAATTACCCAAATTTAGACCCCAGAGACTCTTAAGTGCCTACATGTTCCCAAAGAGTCATTAAACTCACCAGCATTTGCTCATAATAACTCATCCTTCTTGCCAAGCCCTTGATGAGTAAACCACTCTGCTGATCCATCTCTATATTTGTTAAAAGATAAGAGATGCTTGGAGAGGTGCTCAGCCCTATAAGTCTATTGAGCAAAATAGTGCCACAACTGATGCTTTAGTAGTAACCACTGTGGGATATAAGAGTTTTTAAATCCTTGAAGAAGTTGCTTTTTTAAATATACAGAACGAATTTACATAAAAAGACAAGCTATTAACCTATCTTTCTAATTACAATAAAGAAATCATGTTGGAGTTGAACTTTCGGACTTATCGTTGATAAGTTGAATGCACTTAAAATACTTTAAATAGCAGTGAAATAATTTATTTGCACATGTTGTACAAAGCAGTTGCTCTCTGTCTCATCAGAAGAGGTGAACCCCGTCGGGGGTTTGATTCCCGGTAGGGAGAGTGCAGGAGGCAGCCAATCAATGACTCTCATCATTGATGTTTCTCTCTCTCTCTCTGCCTCTCCCTTCCTCTCTCTGAAATTAATAAAAATATATTAAAAAAAAAAAAAGAATAGGTGAACCCAGTAGAAGGCTCATAGGGCAAACATCTTTACATTGTTGGGCCATTTTTATTGACCTACTGTAAAGTGACTGGATTTTAAAATTAGACAGTCCTTGGTTTTTCATAACTGATATTGATTTACTTATTATGCTGAGAATGGTGTTTGGCATGTAATTAGAGCTCAGTAAATGTATGTAAAATGAGTAAAGGAATGAACTGAGCAATTAACATACCATCCCTTTCTCATAAAATAGAGGCAATATTAACTAACTCAGTGCAAATATGAGAATAAAATTGTTTAGTGCCTCTTCCGTGGTGTATGCTTTCTGGTAGGCATTAGCATCGGATAGAAATTTCACTGTTTTCTTAGCCTTTGTATTCCTTCCTCTACTGTCTGCCATTTCCACTTCACTCAGCTGATTTCTCTAACTAGGGGTCTAAGACCCACCCAAGCAGCAAGCATGTTCCAGTGCCTGGAATGTTGCCAGAGTGTTATATTTTATGCTTCGAGAGAGCACCCCAAGTCAATAAGTTTTGTTTATATAGTCTACTTCTGGGACCCACTGATTAAGCTTTATCAAAATCCAATCACAAGTGTACTCCTCTGGGCTCCTACCCAGTACCTATTAATTCTCGCCACTCCTTAGGTGTGTTATTTCTCTCTTATCAGGCCCAGCAGCACATCCCCAGTACGGTTATATTGGGATTTAACCTCAGTTACCTGCTTGACAACCTGGAGAGAGGGTAGGCACATTCTTGAAGGGGACACTCGTTGTCATGGGAGAGAGGCATTTGCAGCATCTTCCAACAGTAAGAAGGGATAGTCCTTGATGGGGAGAAAGAAGCAATCTCTATAAGTTCTGAGCATTCTGAGACCCTGTAGACCTCAAATCCCCAGGGACATTCTTCCAGATGTCTCCATTCAATATAGCAGGGTCCCAGGCCCTACTTTGGATGAGCATTTAAATACCTCTGAAGCTCTGTGACTTTCCAAATTCTTGTGTCTACTCCTTGGCTGCATATGTTCCTCCACTATATAAGTTAATGGCTTATCTGTAAACTGCCAAAAAACCCCTCTGGTGCTCAGTCATTGGCTGGAAGCAACCTTGCGGAAGTGTGGCTAAGCACTCACAGGAACAGAAACTGAAGGCGATCCCCATGCTCCCTATAGCTAGTGTTCTCAAAGGAGATCAGAGCAGTGCATGTTTGTGGCCATCACACTTTGTGTGTCTGAACATACTGAGAGATGACAGGAGATCTGCAATCCTCTTGGGGAGTTTGAGAATAAATTAATGATGAGTGTATAGAAAACTAAATGTGACAAAGACAATTAGTAGGAAAAAATGAAAAGCTGTACAAGAAAGAAATATGATCATAATTTACTATGGTTCTGTGGTGGTTTATATTTGAATAATCATAATAAGAATGGAATTTAACCAAGAAAAATGTACCAAAACTATTTCATAAAAAACTATATTGGAAGATGGAAAAGTGGAAACAGAGAAGTGGGGACTGGAAGAGATCAAAATTCTTATGTTCTATACAAAAAGTCACTAGACAATTCCTAGAAATGAACAATTAAGAAATAACAGTATAAGCAGTTACTTTAAAATAGTATGGTAAATAAGAGAAGTAACAGCTAAAATGATTGAAAGTGGGATTTCTTGGAAGCAGGAATCCATGGGGAAAAGAGGTTTAGCAGAGGACTGCTGTTTTTCTTTTTTTCTCTCTGCTGTTTTTCCTTTTAAGCCTATGACATCATTTCACTTTTTAAAACTCTCTCTATGTTTAACTTTGATTAAAATATTAAAATAAAATTTTAAAAGGAAAATACAGACTTACAATACTTAACTGTAAATTCTAATGAATGATTCATGCATTTCTCAGATATTCTGCTATTGAAAAGTACATTAATTATGTTGTATACATAGCTCATTCATAAGTGCTTTTACTCTAATTTTGTATTTCATTTGAAGTGTTTTAGAATGCAGAATTTAAAATATCATCTACCATGTCATTAAGAGATTTTTTTAATAATGTTTTTAAGTCAGGCAGTGGGGAGTTCTATGGGATTTTTAGCTCGTTTTCTGATAATACACACTTGGCTTAAGATCTACATGTGTCAGCTGTTATCAGCTGCCTGTGTGCGTCACTGAGTTCGCTCTGTGGTATTATCTGTAGCCAAAGGAAACACAGAGGAAATCATCACAGCAGCTCCACACATTTTAATCAGTTTAAAAAAAAAAACAACAAAAAACTGCTCCCTCACTGGTATTCTTACACAGAAAGCCTATTATAGCAAAATTTTAAAAGGCAAAACAAAAAAATTGTTTACGGATTCTAATTCAGCCTTAAAAAGAGAATCTGTATGAAGTCAATAATTCTGCAAAACTCTCTAGTCCCAAAGTTTGCATTGACCTTTTCCACAATAGTGTCACTTACACATTTGCTCAGAAACATTTCCACAATCCTTCCCTCCTTATTTCATACCTGATTCAGGGAAAGCCTCATCGTCCAGGAGGCAAAATCAAAATCCCTCTCCTCTCAAAAAACAGGTTTTTCAAAAATTAATTTTGAATAAAAATGGTAAGCAATATTCATGATTACATGTGCCATGTATACATTGCTCCATAACATGAGGTGCTAGAATTATTCAATTTATCTTCTATAGCAAATTATTCCTGGATCTGAGCCTTCACCCACCTAAGTAGGGAAGCAGTCGATCAGTATCAGTCATTGGTATTTTTCCCCACTCCTTTCAAGGGACCAAACAAAGACCCCAAGGCTGACAAGGTAAGAGGAAATGGGGAGGACCTAGGTTCTTATTCCACTGTGGCTGCCGTCTTACTGTTCTTTCTTTGAGCACAGCATTCTGTCATTCCATGCTTCTCCTTCCCCACCACCGCGGACTACTGATAGAGCAGCCTAGAAATGACAGACATTCCTTCCTGAGCCTCTCAATGTGCATCACCCCAGTCACAGGAACTCTGATGCTGCCCACAGGGCTGCAACTTCTAAGATTTCACCGTCACAAATGCCCTCATGACAGTTCTCCATGGGACTACTCAGCTCCCATTTGTTTTTCCTTTTCTGGAGGTGGGGGTGGGGTAAGTCTGCTCCACTAAAGCAGGAAAGAGGTGGGGCATGAAGGAAATTGCTCCATTAAATTATTAATACCTTGTCCTGCCACAGTTATTAAAATGTTTCAGTTAGTTGTCCAATTTTCCTTAAGGTAATAAAGAGTGTGTGTATGAATACTTATTTTCATGCTTGAAATAATTACAGTAATCCCTTGCCAGCCATGCTTGTGAAAAGTTCTGGGACTGTCAAAATGGTTGGCAATACTTTTTCATAGAAAATAAAAGGTTGGACCAGAAAAAAAGTTTAAATGGCTAAATATATACAATATTTAAAGGCAAAGCAAAATAAAGTCTTGTCTAAAACAAATCATATCTGTCATTAAAAACATGTTCCAGTGGGATATCTTCCATGAGTATCTTTCAGTTGTTCTAGAACCACTGCTGCCCTGTGATCTGTTGAGGCCTATGTACTCAATAAGCCAGTTAAAAAAAAGCGAGAACCATCACCTACTTGCTTGAAAGTTAAGGTCTTGCATTGTATTCTTCCTATATGTAAACCCAAAGGCCCTGCTCTATGCAGGCATGAAAGGCAATTGAAAGAATAAATAGTATATACATATAAAATCTATCATCTATCTATCTATCATCTATCATCTATCTATCTAAATTCAAAACCTTTGAGGTATTAGAACTGTCAAATTTCTTTATTTTTCTAAATGAAATAATGTCTGACTGAACCCCCGCTCACCAAGGATGGCAATGATTTCTATATTAGTTATTATTGCTGCTCACTCACTCCTTTTTACAAAATGCTTGTGCCTTTTTATGTTATCCAAGATGATTAAGAAGTATTCTTTTCCCAGATTAGTCTTCCATACATTTGTTGAAAGGATAAAGTTTTAAAGATCGTTTCTCTCTGCATACCCACATAGACCTACATGTCTGAAAGAGAAAAGAGAATTCTGAAGATTTAGTATTATTTTTCTGCATAAGAATCACTGAAGCACCTGTTAAAACACTAATTTTTGGCTGCAATTCCTGAAGATTATGATTCAATAGGTCTGGGGTAGGGCCCAGAAATTGGTATTTTGTGAATTCATAAAGTTTAATAAGTGATTTTGATATCCAGATTTAGGAACATGTGTAAAGGACTGAACTAAACCTTACATATGTAAAAAATATCAGATATTAAAAAATTGTTATAAAAACTTAAATCACTATAAGTATACCCTAGAGTTCCAAAAACTATAGTTGGCAAGAGAGTGCTGTAATTTTATGAGATATAATTTTATAGATATGGTGCTCTGCTTTTTGTTATAGTGGTAAAAGATACTAACAAAATTTACGATTTTAAGCATTTTTAAGTACACAGCTCAGGGACATTAAGTACATTCTCATCGTTGTGTGGCTATCCCCACCATCCCTTCCCAGAACTTTTCATCTACCCCAATTGAAGCTTGTTACCCATTAAATACTAACCTCTACATTCTCCCCCTCCTCCAGCCCCTGGCAACCACCATTCTACTTTCTGTCTCTATGAATTTGACTACTCATATAAGTGGAATCATACAGTATTTGTCCTTTTGGGACTGGTTTATTTCACTCAGCATTATGTCCTCAAGGGTCATTCATGTTGTAGCACATGTCAGAATTTCCTTCCTTTTTAAGGCAGGATAATATTCCATTGTATGTATCTACCACATTTTGTTTATCCATTAATCCACTGAAGGACACTTGGGTTGCTTCCACCTTTTGACTATTGTGAATTATAGTGCTATGGACATGGGTACACAAATATCTGCTCAGACTCCTGCTTCCAACTCTTTTGGATATATGGCCAGAAGTGAAATTGCTATAATTCTTAAAATACTCTTAATAAGATAAAGGAATGCCCATATGTATTTTATCTGAAAATTCCTGATATACAAATGTAACTTTGATTTTCTAAAGTGACAAATGTAAGACTGGCCTCACATTTGTGACTTTTCTATACTGGTTCTTTTCTTCCAGGGCTCTACATTTAAGTTTGTTTTTATTTTTTGCATTGTCAACATGCTCTCCCATGACCATTACTTCAGTTATTTTCTCTTGCTCATAGTTTCCAAATTCACAGTCCAGCCCCAGACTATCTCCTCCAATTTCTGTTGCTTGATGAGCCGTATCTTTGTGAATGACTAAGCTATGTCCCAGGAGTATTGTTCCATTAGCCATTCCCTGTCTCCTCTGGATCTTCCACCTCTTTGGTACTATGAGCTCTTTCCCCAGAGGCTGTAACTCTGCTTAAAAACAGAAACTCCTGCTATCTTTGAAAGCAAAAGCACTGAAGTCCATGTTTTCCCTTTTAATGGTCCACCAAACCTATTTCAAATGCTAAACATAGACTCCTGCATGCACATACAAACACATACACACAGAAAGAGGCTTGGCCTTTGCTCTAATTAATAAGTGGGATGGTGTGTTCACCTTACATTTTACTCTAATTAGTAGACCCAATAACCAGGGTAACAGTCCTAGTTTTCAACTGAGACAGAAAATAAGAGGTCTTTCAGCTAAAGATTAAAAACAAGGCTGTGTTATTTCCCTCACCCTATATTACTTAGATAACAAATACACCTCCAAACAAACACTTCCCTTGTCAGTGGACACACACATGCATATATATGTGCATGTGCATGCGCAAGCACACACACACAAACACACACACACACCCCTTTCAAAGTAGCAGCCTGTCTCAGACTTTCACTCA